GCTCCTGAACCCTATGATCGCGGGAACCGGCAGCTTCCCGCTGCAATCGGGGCCAGAAGCCTCGGCTTGAGGATGCCCCCACTGACCGAGGTGTTGACCCACATCTGCGCCGCTTGGGGGAGCATGTCCGGGTTGGCTCGCCTTTGGGTCAACTTCCACAGGAGCCGGGCTGCCCGGGGGTGTCTACGTTCTGGGTCAAGATGAAGACTCGCCGGGCGGGGGTTTCGACGCCTCTCGGTCACTCCAGGGAGAGGAGACTGACGTCAACCTGTGGGACCACCTTGTCCTGCGCCAAGATTCAGGATCCCAGCCGGGGCTGCTCCCGGATCCGGGGGAACGTGATCGACTGGGAGACGGTGGGGCATCAGAGGGAAGGGGCGCGATCGTGCAGGGTAATCAAGGCTGCGAGTTTTGTTTGTAGAGTAAAGTTTGTGTTGCATTCCCCGAAACTAGCTCTCCTTTTGCTCCCTCCCTCCTACACTCCTCAACTCCTTCCCAACTACATTCCTCACCTTCCTCCCCACATCTCAGTCACTCCCTCCTACACATACTCTCTTCACCTCCCTCTCTCATACACTACTCACCTCCCTCACTCCCTCCCACAATCCTCACCTCCCTCCCTCCATCGGTCCTGCATTCCTCACCTACCTACCTCTCTCCCTCCCTCCTACACGAGAGGGAGTTCGGGAGCAACTGGATTTTGCGGTGAATCTGATTCCAAAAGTGATTCTGATGAAGAATGTAGTGATTATTTCTGGGGAGGAATCTGTCTCTGCCAAATAAAAGTCGTGGTGAATAAATTCTGTTTCTGTGTGTTTCTGTTTGCTCACACTCAACCCTTGCACAATCACATGCTCCATCGCTCTCACGGGCGCTAATACACACGGCCACAGATTCACTGAAGGACAGAGACAGAAGCGAGCGTGACTGTGAGTTTGCGAGTGAGAGAGAGAGTGACTGAGCGAGAGGGAGAGGGGGAAGGGGAGGGGAGAGAGAGGGAGTGAGAGAGAGAGAGAGAGACAGAGAGGGAGAGGAGACTGAGCGAGATGGAAGGGGAGACTGAGGGATTGAGAGAGAGAGAGAGAGAGAGAGAGAGAGAGAGAGAGAGAGAGAGAGAGAGAGAAGTAGAGAACGAGGGGGAGAGAGCGACAGGGAGCGAGAGATAGCGAAAGAAGGGGAGGGAGCGAGAGAGAGAGAGAGAGAGAGAGATCGAGCGAGAGGGAGTGTGGGAGAATGAGGGAATGAGAAAGACAGAAGGAAAAAAAAACAGGGCGGTCGACCACCTGAAGCAACTCCCGCCGGCCTCGCCCGCTCTCGCCGCGTTCACCCTGTGCCTGAGAGCCTCCACCCGGGTGACACGCACCGTCAGCCTCTTCGCCTACGCGGTGTGGGACCAGCACAACGAGCTCCTGATCACAATGAACGGGGTTACGGGCAGCGCCGTACTCTGCCTCGGGGTCGGCAACGTCTTCTTG